CACAGAGGACACAGAGGACACAGAGGACACAGAGCACACAGAGGACACAGAGGACACAGAGCACACAGAGGACACAGAGGACACAGAGGACCACAGCTGATGTTTTTAATCCAGCGTGTCTGAAATGTAGGAATGATGACGTATAGTGAACGTGTCATACCTTTAATACATAAACACAGTCGGACTGACTGAGATTCATCTGGATAAATATGAGCAACTTTGACAGGAAGTCCTTTATTTCAATTCTCATCTCATGGTTTTCATCCTGCATAAAACAACAAGGCCAGAACACACAGGACGAAGTAATAATAATAATGATGTTAATAATAATGAGAGCTGTGGGACATTAACTCTGAAGAGTGGTCCTGCAGACAGGATATGATGTAGGACATGTGTCATGTGTTCAGGGGATTTCAGATCTTTTGTGTTCCTGCTCATGTAGACGTGTCAGGAAATGAGACAGGCAACATGTTGGCTGAACAATGATTAAAACAACAGTTAAATGACCTGCAGGTAAATCAGAGGTCGGAATCATCATAAAGGACCGAACACACACACCTGTCAGGAATACCTGGATTGACGTGACACCGGAAGTCGTCTGTACAGGAAGTCACAGCAAGAGGGATCCTGGTTCAGTCCCAGGAGTTGTGTGGAGTTTGCATGTTCTCCCTGTGTCAGCGTGGGTTTCCTCCAGGTGCTCTGACATGTTCTCCCTGTGTCAGCGTGGGTTTCCTCCAGGTGCTCTGACATGTTCTCCCTGTGTCAGCGTGGGTTTCCTCCAGGTGCTCCCACATGTTCTCCCCGTGTCAGCGTGGGTTTCCTCCAGGTGCTCTGACATGTTCTACCTGTGTCAGCATGGGTTTCCTCCAGGTGCTCCGACATGTTCTCCATCAGCCCTGTGATAGTCTGGTGACCTGTCCAGGGTGAACCCTGCCTCTCACCCAGTGTCAGCTGCCAGAAATGTCAGTAGGAGGAGAAAACTATATAGAGATCTGTTGGACAGTGGGGAAGCAAAATTTAATGTCAACCATTGGAGCCAAAGGAGACCTGGAGAGAACAAACAAACTGGTGGGATTTCTGCACTCCACTGGTTTGTACAAGATGATCTAAGGAAATAACGACTTCTAACTGAGGGGGGCAGCAATACGCCGATGCTGCGTCAAGCCTGCCATACCAAAAGAAGAAGAAGAAGAAGAACCCGTGAACCGGAAACACACCGCCCGCATTTCCTGTTTCCGTCAACACACACGTGTGTATATGAGTGAAGACAAAACGACAGAGAACCTCCACAGAACCCGTTTAGAAGCGTCCACAGTCCGGTGTGCAGGTCCTGGTCCACAGTCCGCCATGTTGGAGCAGCTGGGTCTGATCGGGACGATCCGGGACGAGGACGAGAGTCCGGAGGAACCCGACACCGAGTCCGAGCAGGAGGTGAGTCAGGCCGTCCACACAGCTCAGACTGTCCCCGGCTGATGGTGAACCAGGGCCCGGCCTGAAAACAGCACATTTACCGCTGATTGATCCCGAAGGTTCCGGACGAGTTTAACTCACGTGTAAAAGTACAAACTACAGACAGAGCTGGTGACGAACACTGGATTTATTTTAACATTTAAATCAAACTACAGGTTTTATTATTTTAAACAGAATGAAAATCTTGTGTCGAAACATTTGAACATGAACTTCAGTCAGTGAGACATAAAGAGAGAGACAGACAGACTCAGTGTGGTTTATAATGATGGACACAGACTGTGGTGCAGGTTCACACTGTGTGTGTCTGTACCTGCTCTGCTTTAATATGATATGTTAATATATGTTCACTCTGTGTGTGTCTGTACCTGCTCTGCTTTAGTGTTGTAGGGCTGAGTATTTCTTGTCTATATAAATATATATATTTGTTAATTATATGAGATGGTTGTCATGAAAATCCCAGTAAATACTCTGATGTGTTTTTATTAAAATATAAACTCTAATTCTTCAGTTTGAGATTGAATCAGATCATTGCAATGTTTTTATTTCATCTGACAGTGATGTGTGTGTGTGTGTGTGTTCGTTCCAGGATGAGCCGATTGTCCTGAACAGGAAGAAGAAGTTTGGGAGTCGTGGGGCAAAAGACTTCAATGCTGACTTTGAGTTTGGAGAGAGAGACGGACTGATCCATGACGAGGACTGGGCGATGGCTGACGTCATGAAACAGCTGAAGAACAAGGTAAAACCCTGAGATTATACTGTGTCACTCGGAACGTTTCCATGAACATCATAAACATGTCAGTGTGAGTGAAATGGTCCTGCAGTGAATGTGTCACAGTGGGACTAACACACCCAGATCATGTGACTCCTGCATGTATACAGTCAATCAGACCTTCTCCTGCTGTGTTTTGGTCCCGTAGGGTTCTCCTGCTGTGTTTTGGTCCCGTAGGGTTCTCCTGCTGTGTTCTAGTCCCGTAGGGTTCTCCTGCTGTGTTTTGGTCCCGTAGGGTTCTCCTGCTGTGTTTTGGTCCCGTAGGGTTCTCCTGCTGTGTTTTGGTCCCGTAGGGTTCTCCTGCTGTGTTTTGTGACTGTGTTCTGTGTTTGCAGAGAACCGCGACCACTCTGGACCAGAAAATCGAGAAAATCAGAAAGAAGAGGAAGGCTGAGGTGAGTCTGCTGTGACGTTCTATTTCCTGCCTGGTCAAGTTCCACTTCCTGTGTTTAAGGTGGATGTGTTTTGTTGTGCAGGAGAAATCAGCTCAGAGTGACACCGCTGAAGGTTTTGCAGGGAAGAACCAGGAGGAGGATGAAGAGCAGGATGAAGAGCAGGATGTGAAGCCTGCTGTGGCAGAGGCTGATGGAGGTAGTGATGATGATGAGGAGCAGGAGGATGATGAAGAGGAAGATGAGTTTGATTCGAGTGATGAAGAGATTCTGACCAAATCAGGTGAGTCCATCAGAGGCTTTTATTTTTTATTTCTGACAGGAAGTCGAAACATTTGAATTATTTCAATTATTTTAATTCAGATATTTTAATAAACAAAAAAAATCAATAAATCAGTTTAATAATAATGAATTTATTGATAATAAATGATAAACAATAATCAGTCCAGGTAAACAAACATCAGCTCTGAACACAAAACTAAACTTTATTTAATTTTCATGTTAAAAATGTAAAAGAAACAAAAAAGAAGAAAAAAGTTTGACATAACTTCAGTGTTTTATTTTGATGGTTGACTTCCTGTTTCCTGTCAGACACCCTGAGAGACAAAGAACGACGGGGGAAGAAGAGGAAGGTGGGAGAGGAGGTGAGGAGGCGGAGCTGATGATGTCAGGTTCATCAACAGTTTGACCTGGGTTGCCATGGTAACAGCTGTGTGTGTTTTCAGGCTGCGGAGTCGTTCTACGAAGACGCGTCTCAGTACGACGATCAGCTGACCTTTGATGACATGAACCTGTCCCGCCCCCTCCTCAAGGTAAACCTTCAACTACCCCCCCCCCCCCCCCCCCCCCCCCCCCCCCCCCCCCCCCCCCCCCCCCACCTCCATTAGCCACACCCCCAGGACTGCCGCCCCCCTCCGTCTTGGTTGTAGTTTGTAACTTCCTGTTGTGACCCTGCAGGCCATCACAGCTCTGGGCTTCAAACAGCCGACTCCCATCCAGAAGGCCTGTGTTCCTGTGGGCCTGCTGGGCAGAGACCTGTGCGCCTGTGCTGCCACTGGGACAGGTAAGGCTGGTTTACTGGGACCACTTCATCATACTGGGAGGAACCACAGAGGTTCATAAATATATTCCTTTGTCTCCTCAGGGAAGACGGCAGCCTTCATGCTGCCGGTGTTGGAGCGTTTGGTTTATAAGCCCAGGACATCCCAGGTTACCCGGGTCTTGGTTCTCGTTCCTACCAGAGAGTTGGGGATCCAGGTTCACTCTGTTGCCCGCCAGCTCGCCCAGTTCACCTCCATCACCACCTGCCTGGCTGTCGGTATGACTGCTTCCTGTTTCCTGTTAACTGACAGTTTACTGACGGACTGGAACTCTGGACTCAGTCTGACTCAGGTAACCTGTCTCGTTGTGTGTCCAGGTGGGTTGGACTTGAAGTCTCAGGAGGCGGCATTGAGGGCGGGGCCAGATGTTCTCATAGCTACACCTGGTCGGCTGATTGATCACCTTCACAACACGCCAAGCTTTGAGCTGACTCACATTGAAATCCTGATCCTGGACGAGGCCGACAGGTAAACACTGACACCTGTCATCATGGAGGGGTCAGCTGTGACACAATGACTCACCTGTGAGGTTCTGTTCCTGTGTTTCCCTCTCAGGATGTTGGACGAGTACTTTGAGGAGCAGATGAAGGAGATCATCAGGTTGTGTTCCTACAACAGACAGACCATGCTGTTCTCCGCCACCATGACTGAGGAGGTGTGTGTCATGTGCCCATGTGTTTGAGAGTGTGTCATGTGACCATGTCTCCATGTGTTTGAGAGTGTGTCATGTGACCATGTCTCCAGGTGTTTGAGAGTGTGTCATGTGACCATGTCTCCAGGTGTTTGAGAGTGTGTCATGTGACCATGTCTCCAGGTGTTTGAGAGTGTGTCATGTGACCATGTCTCCAGGTGTTTGAGAGTGTGTCATGTGACCATGTCTCCAGGTGTTTGAGAGTGTGTCATGTGACCATGTCTCCAGGTGTTTGAGAGTGTGTCATGTGACCATGTCTCCAGGTGTTTGAGAGTGTGTCATGTGACCATGTCTCCAGGTGTTTGAGAGTGTGTCATGTGACCATGTCTCCAGGTGTTTGAGAGTGTGTCATGTGACCATGTCTCCAGGTGTTTGAGAGTGTGTCATGTGACCATGTCTCCAGGTGTTTGAGAGTGTGTCATGTGACCATGTCTCCAGGTGTTTGAGAGTGTGTCATGTGACCATGTCTCCAGGTGTTTGAGAGTGTGTCATGTGACCATGTCTCCAGGTGTTTGAGAGTGTGTCATGTGACCATGTCTCCAGGTGTTTGAGAGTGTGTCATGTGACCATGTCTCCAGGTGTTTGAGAGTGTGTCATGTGACCATGTCTCCAGGTGTTTGAGAGTGTGTCATGTGACCATGTCTCCAGGTGTTTGAGAGTGTGTCATGTGACCATGTCTCCAGGTGTTTGAGAGTGTGTCATGTGACCATGTCTCCAGGTGTTTGAGAGTGTGTCATGTGACCATGTCTCCAGGTGTTTGAGAGTGTGTCATGTGACCATGTCTCCAGGTGTTTGAGAGTGTGTCATGTGACCATGTCTCCAGGTGTTTGAGAGTGTGTCATGTGACCATGTCTCCAGGTGTTTGAGAGTGTGTCATGTGACCATGTCTCCAGGTGTTTGAGAGTGTGTCATGTGACCATGTCTCCAGGTGTTTGAGAGTGTGTCATGTGACCATGTCTCCAGGTGTTTGAGAGTGTGTCATGTGACCATGTCTCCAGGTGTTTGAGAGTGTGTCATGTGACCATGTCTCCAGGTGTTTGAGAGTGTGTCATGTGACCATGTCTCCAGGTGTTTGAGAGTGTGTCATGTGACCATGTCTCCAGGTGTTTGAGAGTGTGTCATGTGACCATGTCTCCAGGTGTTTGAGAGTGTGTCATGTGACCATGTCTCCAGGTGTTTGAGAGTGTGTCATGTGACCATGTCTCCAGGTGTTTGAGAGTGTGTCATGTGACCATGTCTCCAGGTGTTTGAGAGTGTGTCATGTGACCATGTCTCCAGGTGTTTGAGAGTGTGTCATGTGACCATGTCTCCAGGTGTTTGAGAGTGTGTCATGTGACCATGTCTCCAGGTGTTTGAGAGTGTGTCATGTGACCATGTCTCCAGGTGTTTGAGAGTGTGTCATGTGACCATGTCTCCAGGTGTTTGAGAGTGTGTCATGTGACCATGTCTCCAGGTGTTTGAGAGTGTGTCATGTGACCATGTCTCCAGGTGTTTGAGAGTGTGTCATGTGACCATGTCTCCAGGTGTTTGAGAGTGTGTCATGTGACCATGTCTCCAGGTGTTTGAGAGTGTGTCATGTGACCATGTCTCCAGGTGTTTGAGAGTGTGTCATGTGACCATGTCTCCAGGTGTTTGAGAGTGTGTCATGTGACCATGTCTCCAGGTGTTTGAGAGTGTGTCATGTGACCATGTCTCCAGGTGTTTGAGAGTGTGTCATGTGACCATGTCTCCAGGTGTTTGAGAGTGTGTCATGTGACTATGTCTCCATGTGTTTGAGAGTGTGTCATGTGACCATGTCTCCAGGTGTTTGAGAGTGTGTCATGTGACCATGTCTCCAGGTGTTTGAGAGTGTGTCATGTGACCATGTCTCCAGGTGTTTGAGAGTGTGTCATGTGCCCATGTCTCCAGGTGTGTGAGAGTGTGTCATGTGACCATGTCCAGGTGTGTGAGAGTGTGTCATCTGACCTGTGTCTCCAGGTGAAGGATCTGGCGGCGGTCTCGTTGAAGCAGCCAATCAGGATCTTTGTTAACAGTAACACTGATGTCGCTCCTTTTCTGCGACAAGAGTTTGTCCGAATCCGACAAAACAGAGAGGGAGACCGAGAGGCCGTGGTGGCAGGTAAGTACTGATAACCCTGCACAACCAACACTAACACTGTGGTTCTGTATGTACTGACACTGTGTTTTGTCAGCTCTACTGACTCGGACGTTCCAGGATCACGTGATGTGTTTCACTCAGACAAGGAAACAGGCTCACAGATTGCACATCCTGCTGGGACTGATGGGACTGAAGGTCGGAGAACTGCATGGAGAACTGAGCCAGAACCAGAGACTGGAGAACCTCAGGTACACAGACAGAACCAGAGACTGGAGAAGCTCAGGTACACAGACAGAACCACAGACTGGAGAAGCTCAGGTAGACTGGAGAACCTCAGGTACACACAAAGAACCAGAGACTGGAGAACCTCAGGTAGACTGGAGAACCTCAGGTACACACAAAGAACCAGAGACTGGAGAACCTCAGGTAGACTGGAGAACCTCAGGTACACATAGAACCAGAGACTGGAGAACCTCAGGTACACAGACAGAACCAGAGACTGGAGAACCTCAGGTAGACTGGAGAACCTTAGGTACATAGACAGAACCAGAGACTGGAGAACCTCAGGTACACAGACAGAACCAGAGACTGGAGAACCTTAGGTACATAGACAGAACCAGAGACTGGAGAACCTCAGGTACACAGACAGAACCAGAGACTGGAGAACCTCAGGTAGACTGGAGAACCTCAGGTACACACACAGAACCAGAGACTGGAGAACTTCAGGTACACAAACAGAACCACAGACTGGAGAAGCTCAGGTACACACACAAAACCAGAGGCTGTAGAACCTCGGGTACACAGACAGAACCAGAGACTGGAGATCCTCGGGTACACACAGAACCAGAGACTGGTGACAAGGGGAGGTCACTGTGTACGTGAGAAGTTTGACTTTGAGGAAAAATGAAAATCACTCTCACCCAGATTTTAACAGTTAGTTTAAATGTTTCGTCCCAGATTTTTATATTTATCTATTATTTGAATCAGCCTTCAGTAATCTCCTGTCTGTCAGCCTTTAGAACTCACCCTCTGTGTTCTCGTTGTTCTCCAGGCGGTTTAAAGACGATCAGATTGATATCTTGGTGGCGACAGATGTAGCAGCCAGAGGTCTGGACATCGACGGAGTGAAAACGGTGAGTTACTTCCCTCATTATGGAGTTAATGTGAAGTTAATGTGGAGTTATTATGGAGTTAATTTTGAGTTATTGTGGAGTAATTATGGAGTTAATGTGGAGTTATTATGGAGCTTATGTGGAGTTATTATGAAGTTAGTATGGAGTTAATGTGGAGTTTATGTGGAGTTATTATGGAGTTAGTATGGAGTTAATTTTGAGTTATTATGGAGTTAGTATGAACTTAATGTGGAATTATTATGGAGTTATTGTGGAGTTAATATGGAGTTAGTATGGAGTTAATGTGGAGTTATTATGGAGTTAATGTGAAGTTATTATGGAGTTAGTATGGACTTAATGTGGAGTTATTATGGAGTTACTGTGGAGTTAATGTGGAGTTGATATGGAGTTAGTATGGAGTTAATGTGGAGTTATTATGGAGTTTATGTGGAGTTATTATGGAGTTAATGTGGAATTATTATGGAGTTAGTATGGACTTAATGTGGAGTTATTATGGAGTTATTGTGGAGTTAATGTGGAGTTGATATGGAGTTAGTATGGAGTTAATGTGGAGTTATTGAGTTTATGTGGAGTTAGTATGGAGTTAGTATGGAGTTAATGTGGAGTTATTATGGAGTTAATGTGGAGTTATTATGGAGTTAGTATGGAGTAAATGTGAAGTTAATGTGGAGTTATTATGGAGTTAATTTTGAGTTTTTGTGGAGTTATTATGGAGTTAATGTGGAGTTAGTTAGTATGGAGTTAATGTGGAGTTATTATGGAGTTAATGTGGAGTTATTATGGAGTTAATTTTGAGTTATTGTGGAGTTATGGAGTTAATGTGGAGTTAATATGGAGTTAGTATGGAGTTAATGTGGAGTTATCATGGAGTTATTATGGAGTAAATGTGGAGTTATTATGGAGTTATTGTGGAGTTAATGTGGAGTTATTATGGAGTTAATGTGGAGTTATTATGGAGTTAATTTTGAGTTATTGTGGAGTTATGGAGTTAATGTGGAGTTAATATGGAGTTAGTATGGAGTTAATGTGGAGTTATCATGGAGTTATTATGGAGTAAATGTGGAGTTATTATGGAGTTATTGTGGAGTTAATGTGGAGTTATTATGGAGTTAATGTGGAGTTATTATGGAGTTAATTTTGAGTTATTGTGGAGTTATGGAGTTAATGTGGAGTTAATATGGAGTTAGTATGGAGTTAATGTGGAGTTATCATGGAGTTATTATGGAGTAAATGTGGAGTTATTATGGAGTTATTGTGGAGTTAATGTGGAGTTATTATGGAGTTAATGTGGAGTTATTATGGAGTTAATTTTGAGTTATTGTGGAGTTATGGAGTTAATGTGGAGTTAATATGGAGTTAGTATGGAGTTAATGTGGAGTTATCATGGAGTTATTATGGAGTAAATGTGGAGTTATTGTGGAGTTATTGTGGAGTTAATGTGGAGTTATTATGGAGTTAATGTGGAGTTATTATGGAGTTAATTTTGAGTTATTGTGGAGTTATGGAGTTAATGTGGAGTTAATATGGAGTTAGTATGGAGTTAATGTGGAGTTATCATGGAGTTATTATGGAGTAAATGTGGAGTTATTGTGGAGTTATTGTGGAGTTAATGTGGAGTTATTATGGAGTTAATGTGGAGTTATTATGGAGTTAATTTTGAGTTATTGTGGAGTTATGGAGTTAATGTGGAGTTAATATGGAGTTAGTATGGAGTTAATGTGGAGTTATCATGGAGTTATTATGGAGTAAATGTGGAGTTATTGTGGAGTTATTATGGAGTTAATTTTGAGTTATTGTGGAGTTATGGAGTTAATGTGGAGTTAATATGGAGTTAGTATGGAGTTAATGTGGAGTTATCATGGAGTTATTATGGAGTAAATGTGGAGTTATTATGGAGTTATTGTGGAGTTAATGTGGAGTTATTATGGAGTTAATGTGGAGTTATTATGGAGTTAATTTTGAGTTATTGTGGAGTTATGGAGTTAATGTGGAGTTAATATGGAGTTAGTATGGAGTTAATGTGGAGTTATCATGGAGTTATTATGGAGTAAATGTGAAGTTAATGTGGAGTTATTATGGAGTTAATTTTGAGTTATTGTGGAGTTATTGAGTTAATGTGGAGTTAATATGGAGTTAGTATGGAGTTAATGTGGAGTTATCATGGAGTTATTATGGAGTAAATGTGGAGTTATTATGGAGTTATTGTGGAGTTAATGTGGAGTTATTATGGAGTTAATGTGGAGTTATTATGGAGTTAATTTTGAGTTATTGTGGAGTTATGGAGTTAATGTGGAGTTAATATGGAGTTAGTATGGAGTTAATGTGGAGTTATCATGGAGTTATTATGGAGTAAATGTGAAGTTAATGTGGAGTTATTATGGAGTTAATTTTGAGTTATTGTGGAGTTATTGAGTTAATGTGGAGTTAATATGGAGTTAGTATGGAGTTAATGTGGAGTTATCATGGAGTTATTATGGAGTAAATGTGGAGTTATTATGGAGTTATTGTGGAGTTAATGTGGAGTTATTATGGAGTTAATGTGGAGTTATTATGGAGTTAATTTTGAGTTATTGTGGAGTTATGGAGTTAATGTGGAGTTAATATGGAGTTAGTATGGAGTTAATGTGGAGTTATCATGGAGTTATTATGGAGTAAATGTGGAGTTATTATGGAGTTATTGTGGAGTTAATGTGGAGTTATTATGGAGTTAATGTGGAGTTATTATGGAGTTAATTTTGAGTTATTGTGGAGTTATGGAGTTAATGTGGAGTTAATATGGAGTTAGTATGGAGTTAATGTGGAGTTATCATGGAGTTATTATGGAGTAAATGTGGAGTTATTGTGGAGTTATTGTGGAGTTAATGTGGAGTTATTATGGAGTTAATGTGGAGTTATTATGGAGTTAATTTTGAGTTATTGTGGAGTTATGGAGTTAATGTGGAGTTAATATGGAGTTAGTATGGAGTTAATGTGGAGTTATCATGGAGTTATTATGGAGTAAATGTGGAGTTATTGTGGAGTTATTGTGGAGTTAATGTGGAGTTATTATGGAGTTAATGTGGAGTTATTATGGAGTTAATTTTGAGTTATTGTGGAGTTATGGAGTTAATGTGGAGTTAATATGGAGTTAGTATGGAGTTAATGTGGAGTTATCATGGAGTTATTATGGAGTAAATGTGGAGTTATTGTGGAGTTATTATGGAGTTAATTTTGAGTTATTGTGGAGTTATGGAGTTAATGTGGAGTTAATATGGAGTTAGTATGGAGTTAATGTGGAGTTATCATGGAGTTATTATGGAGTAAATGTGGAGTTATTATGGAGTTATTGTGGAGTTAATGTGGAGTTATTATGGAGTTAATGTGGAGTTATTATGGAGTTAATTTTGAGTTATTGTGGAGTTATGGAGTTAATGTGGAGTTAATATGGAGTTAGTATGGAGTTAATGTGGAGTTATCATGGAGTTATTATGGAGTAAATGTGAAGTTAATGTGGAGTTATTATGGAGTTAATTTTGAGTTATTGTGGAGTTATTGAGTTAATGTGGAGTTAATATGGAGTTAGTATGGAGTTAATGTGGAGTTATCATGGAGTTATTATGGAGTAAATGTGGAGTTATTATGGAGTTATTGTGGAGTTAATGTGGAGTTATTATGGAGTTAATGTGGAGTTATTATGGAGTTAATTTTGAGTTATTGTGGAGTTATGGAGTTAATGTGGAGTTAATATGGAGTTAGTATGGAGTTAATGTGGAGTTATCATGGAGTTATTATGGAGTAAATGTGAAGTTAATGTGGAGTTATTATGGAGTTAATTTTGAGTTATTGTGGAGTTATTGAGTTAATGTGGAGTTAATATGGAGTTAGTATGGAGTTAATGTGGAGTTATCATGGAGTTATTATGGAGTAAATGTGGAGTTATTATGGAGTTATTGTGGAGTTAATGTGGAGTTATTATGGAGTTAATGTGGAGTTATTATGGAGTTAATTTTGAGTTATTGTGGAGTTATGGAGTTAATGTGGAGTTAATATGGAGTTAGTATGGAGTTAATGTGGAGTTATCATGGAGTTATTATGGAGTAAATGTGGAGTTATTATGGAGTTATTGTGGAGTTAATGTGGAGTTATTATGGAGTTAATGTGGAGTTATTATGGAGTTAATTTTGAGTTATTGTGGAGTTATGGAGTTAATGTGGAGTTAATATGGAGTTAGTATGGAGTTAATGTGGAGTTATCATGGAGTTATTATGGAGTAAATGTGGAGTTATTGTGGAGTTATTGTGGAGTTAATGTGGAGTTATTATGGAGTTAATGTGGAGTTATTATGGAGTTAATTTTGAGTTATTGTGGAGTTATGGAGTTAATGTGGAGTTAATATGGAGTTAGTATGGAGTTAATGTGGAGTTATCATGGAGTTATTATGGAGTAAATGTGGAGTTATTGTGGAGTTATTGTGGAGTTAATGTGGAGTTATTATGGAGTTAATGTGGAGTTATTATGGAGTTAATTTTGAGTTATTGTGGAGTTATGGAGTTAATGTGGAGTTAATATGGAGTTAGTATGGAGTTAATGTGGAGTTATCATGGAGTTATTATGGAGTAAATGTGGAGTTATTGTGGAGTTATTATGGAGTTAATTTTGAGTTATTGTGGAGTTATGGAGTTAATGTGGAGTTAATATGGAGTTAGTATGGAGTTAATGTGGAGTTATCATGGAGTTATTATGGAGTAAATGTGGAGTTATTATGGAGTTATTGTGGAGTTAATGTGGAGTTATTATGGAGTTAATGTGGAGTTATTATGGAGTTAATTTTGAGTTATTGTGGAGTTATGGAGTTAATGTGGAGTTAATATGGAGTTAGTATGGAGTTAATGTGGAGTTATCATGGAGTTATTATGGAGTAAATGTGAAGTTAATGTGGAGTTATTATGGAGTTAATTTTGAGTTATTGTGGAGTTATTGAGTTAATGTGGAGTTAATATGGAGTTAGTATGGAGTTAATGTGGAGTTATCATGGAGTTATTATGGAGTAAATGTGGAGTTATTATGGAGTTATTGTGGAGTTAATGTGGAGTTATTATGGAGTTAATGTGGAGTTATTATGGAGTTAATTTTGAGTTATTGTGGAGTTATGGAGTTAATGTGGAGTTAATATGGAGTTAGTATGGAGTTATTATGGAGATAATGTGGCGTTATTATGGAGTTAGTATGGAGTTTATGTGGAGATATTATGGAGTTATTATGGAGTTAGAGTGGAGTTAGTATGGAGTTAATGTGGAGTTATCATGGAGTTATTATGGAGTTAATGTGGAGTTATTATGGAGTTTATGTGGAGTTACTGTCTAAATAGACGCCATATGGCGTGCGTCAAAACGCCTGCCTCCATTATATTCTATGAACAAACCCATAACGGCGCCGGGCGACGCGCCTGCGCTCTGTTTCAGCCCACTGCTCTATTTCCAGCCTGGCCAGCGCTGTGAGAAAAGCCTTTTATGTACGTCTCGGCCGCAGTATGCTTAGGATGCCTAACGTTATTAAGTTTTTCAAATTTTTAATAAGACGATTTTGGTCAGGAACTCACCCGTGAAATCCAAGTTGTTGTTGCCTCAAAGTTTTTCCTCTTCTTCTTCAGTTACTAGCCGTTGGCAACTGTTGGCAAATAGTGTAGGTACAGCCACCTAGCGGGCTGGGGTGGGAAATACACTTTAGTGTCGACAGTGCCGCTATGCGCCGCTGCAAGTGTGTGTTTGGGGGCGGCACTTGACGGCCACAGTGCCGCACCAGCGGCAGTGTGTGTTGCACTTCACTGTATTCTGCATTTGAGGTTCGGATAGTGAGCACTGTAGGTAGTTACTGTGGTAACTTCTGTTCTAAATCCACAGAAATAAACTGCTGTCAGATTTAAAACCAGCAGCTTTTCTGACAGATAGATCCTCTCTGATGACATGTCCATGTCCCTCTCTGTTCCTCTGTCCCTCTGTCCCCCTGTCTCTGTGTCACTATGTCGCTGTGTCCGTGTCCCTCCGTCTCTGTCTCTGTGTCTGTCCCTCTGTTTCTGTGTGTCTGTCCCTGTCCCTCTGTCTCTGTGTCGCTGTGTCCCTGTCCTTCTGTGTCTGTGAATGTGTCTCTGTGTCGGTGTGTCCCTGTTCTTCTGTGTCTGTCTCTGTGTCCCTGTCCCTCTGCCGCTGTGTCGCTGTGTCTCTGTGTCCCTGTGTCCCTGTCCCTCTGTTTCCCTGTCCTTCTGTCTCTGTGTCTCTGTCCTTCTGTCCCTGTCCCTCTGCCGCTGTGTCCCTGTGTCCCTGTGTCCCTGTCCCTCTGTCTCCCTGTCTTTCTGTCTCTGTGTCTCTGTCCTTCTGTCCCTGCCCCTCTGCCGCTGTGTCCCTGTGTCCCTGTCCCTCTGTCTCCCTGTCCTTCTGTCTCTGTCCCTGTCTGTCCCTCAGGTGATAAACTTCACCATGCCATCCACAGTGAAGCACTACGTCCACCGTGTCGGCCGCACGGCGAGAGCAGGTCGCTCAGGACGGTCGGTGTCTCTGGTTGGAGAGTCTGAGAGGAAGATGCTGAAGGAGGTGGTGAAATCAGCCAAGAGCAGCGTGAAGGCTCGTGTCCTGCCACCAGGTGAGAGAGAGAGAGAGAGAGAGAGAGAGAGAGAGAGAGAGAGAGAGAGAGAAGCTGGGTGGTTCAGGGAACCTGGGAGAGCAGGTGGGAGGTGACAGGACTAAGGGCGTGTAGTGATGGATCTGTGTGTGTGTGTGTGTGTGTGTGTGTGTCTATTGCCCAGAGGTCATCCTGAAGTTCAGAGATCTGATCTCCAAACTGGAGAAAGACGTGGATGCTGTGATGAAACTGGAGAGAGAGGAGCGAGAGCTGGCTGCGTCTGAGGCCAAGGTTCACGACCGCTCACCGTTACCATTTGATTTGCTGCTGTGTTTGTTCATAGAAACAATGAAACAATATTTTCTACAACCTTAAACTGCTCTGTGACGTCAGCTGATTCTCACCAGAGACTTTAGACATCTGTGTCGGCTTTCTTGTGTTTTCCTGTCAGCTTTGTCTGTTATTAAATCATTTGTGTGTGTGTGTGTAGTTGAGTGTGGCTCAGAAGCGCCTGGATGGCTCCGTCTCTTCTTCTCAGTCACAGCGAGTTTGGTTTCAGACTCAGCAGGAGAGGAAACAGAGCCGCAGTGAGTACTAATACACACTGTACTACAGAAAATGAACTCCTCTGCAGTATTTTAACTCCTCCTCCTCATCGTCAGTGTCAAAGGCTCTGCAGGAGTTCGATCTCGCTCTGAGGGGGAAGAAGAAGAGAGACAAGTTTGTTAATGACAGCAGGAAGAAGGAGCTGACGGTAAGAACTGTGAAGTAAATGTGCTGCATGTGTGATAAACCAATCAGTTAATAATCAATTAGGTGTCATGTGATCAGTTCAGGTTGTGTAATCAGTATGAAGTCTGTTGGAGGCAGCATCAGGTCAACATGTGAAGAACTAATGGAGATGCAGCGCCATCGTATTTCATCACAACAGACAGAAAGTGTTTTTATTGGATATTAAAAAACACAGTTGAGTCTTTCTAAAATCAATCAATCCACCCGCCCGTCTATTTTCATCCCCTTGTCCGGGGCCGGGGCTCGGGGCCAGCAGGCTAAGCACAGTACTCCATCCATGCCTCTCACCATCAACACTTCTAGCTCCTCCTGGAGGATCTTGAGGCGTTCCAAGACCAGATGAGATCTGTAATCCCTCCAGCGTGTTCTTGGTCGGCCCCGGGGCCTCCTACCAGCTGGACCAGGAGGATCCTGATCACTGGCCGCTGTTAACGTAAAGGAGCAGCGGCTCTGCTCTGAGGCTGAGCCTGAGACAGGTTCTGCTTTCCTTATTCTCACGGTCTGCCAGAACTTCTTTGAGGCCAACCGAAGGTCCTTCTCCATAGCCTCCTCGATCTCCTCCCACACCCAGGTTTTTGCTTCAGTGACCAGCTGTAGCCTTCCTGATCAACCAGTACCTGTCTGCTCCCTCAGTACACACCTGGACCAACCAAACCCAAAAGCCCTCCTTCGTCGGCCTCCGTCGTTGCTGGTGTCCGTCAGCAGGTCCTTAGGTTGCTGCCATGACAAGCAACAACGACCTTCTGACCCCAGCCTTTAGCAGCTGCCTCCAAAATGGCACTCAGACTCCATGTTCCCAACAGGAACAGGATGCATGTGGGAGTTGAAGACCCCACAGACACTGCCCTCAGACAGACGTTCCCAGTTCTCCCTCACTACCAATTGGGTTTACCAGGTCTGTCGGGCAGCCTCCCACCATCTGATCCAACTCACCAGCAGGTGGTGATCAGCTGACAGCTCTGCTCCTCTCTTCAGTTTCTGAGACAACCGGCCGTAGATCAGATGATACCACCACACAGTCAATCATCGACCTTTGGCCTCAGGTGTTCTGAACCTCCCTGTGCTCAAACATGGTGTTTGTTATGGCCAATCCGTGATTCACACAGAGGTCCAATAGGAAAACAACATTCTGGTTCAGATCAGGAAGGCTGATCACACCCCTCCTGGTTTCTCCATCATTGCCCATGTGAGCATGGAAGTCCTTCAGAAGAACTATGGAGTCCCATCAGAACCTTTTCCAGGACACCTCCAGAGACTCCAAGAAGGCGGTACACAACCGTCAGAGACCTCCTCCCAGCAAGTCCCTGTCACACCGAACTGACCCTGCCGTTCCTCACAGAGAACTCCAACACATTACATTTATTTAACATTTATTACAGCTTCAGCTGGACAGAGTGAGAGCTCACTGTCTAATCAGTGATCTTTGTCTGTCTGTCTGTCTGTGTCTGTCTGTCTGTCTGTCAGTCTGAGGAGCGCGCTCAGTTCGAGATCTTGAAGGCTCAGATGTTCGCTGAACGGGCGGCCAAGAGAGAGAGACGACCAAAGAGAGCGCGAGCGATGCCGGACGATGAGACGCCGACTAAACGTCAGATAATACTACAGATGAACTACATTAATACACACATATACTACATCAGTACTTTATATACACATATACCACATCAGTACTTTATATACACAGATGTACTACATCAGTACTTTATATACACATATATACCACATCAGTACTTTATATACACAGATGTACCACATCAGTACTTTATATACACAGATGTACCACATCAGTACTTTATATACACATATA